ATATTTTATTTCGAATCAATGTGTACATTTTACATTCTGTCTGCAGAAAACATAGGTCCCGATACAATACCATTTCGATCAAAAGGAGAAGTAACTACAGGTCGGTAATGGTTCTTGAACCGAATACAAGACTGCACTTTTGAGAAAGAATACGAACCTGCAGAATTTTTACCTAACGAACCAAATATTCGCCATAGCGGTCTACATGATCACTTGTTCTTATCAAACATAGGTTCGCCACGATACTCCAGCACGGATGCTGGAGACTCTGGCAGTCCGTGATCCGGGGAAGAAAGATCTTGGTTGATCTGTCGTTCTATACGAATCTGGGACACCGTTTTCTTCGGATTGTGCTTGGTGCTTGAAATGTCCTCCTGTGAGCGTAGCAAACTTTCCAAATTGAAGCCAATAAAACCGACTACAATTGCAAATGGAAGAGCCACATATCGAGGATTGCTTCGTAAAAACTGTACAATCACCGGCCACATTTTAGGTAGTAAACAGCACTGCCCCGATTATTCACTAAAATGAAAGAACACATGAGGAGTGAACTGGCGAAACTAGAGTACCGGTAAAACAAAAACTGATTGTGAACTCATGGACAATGATCAACTTTTCGCATCGGTTAAAATGTGCGCAGGGTCAACAAATGGCAAACCATACCAAGACATACCTAATTCCCGAAATGCTTGTATTTGTGATGAAAACCACTGAGTGCTGTAGATTTCCGGATCTACTCACCCCCCCCCCTTAAAACACAAACCCGGAAACACTAGCCTTGTGAACAGATCTGATCGGTGAAACCATCCAAAAACTAGCAGTCCCCTTGGGACGAATACGATCGTTCAGTTGTACCATCACACACCGACAGTGAATGACACTTGACCCTGTGCTAAAGACAACTCGTAGACATTCCCTTTCTGAAGCGTGTCAAATATTACAGTTGGGTAAATATGTGCGAACAACCTAGGCCGTTAGATGTTTCACAAGCGCAGACGCACAGTCTCTCTCCGATCTGTGCACGCACGTGTGCACCTATGCGCTGACCACAACACAGGTGACAGTGAGATATTCCGAGGAGGGCCTAGTAAATGCGGGTGACACAGTCAATTGCTGCCGGAAGGAGGCGACTGTTACAGAACGAAACTTGAGTTCCCTTAGAGTCGCGATCAAAATGCACAGCAGTCCATTTTGTAGTTAGGTGTTGCAGCGGTGCGACTAAACGCAAATAGGTTGGTCCGGATGATAGAAGCATGAAGTGGGTATCTGTAGGAAAGGAGTAGCATTGGCGTGATTGGACTGCGACAATGTGCTCAGCAGCCCATGACGAGTACGATGTGCAGGCCCTTACGATCAGTGATATTGTGCCAAAGGTCGTAACAACCAGAATGCCACTGATAGCTAACTGTGTGAAGGAAACTCGGAAGGAGATAGAGACACTCGTGTGTTTGTGCGCGCACTAAAGCTCGGATATTTTTACCTTCGATGGTTGACTAATTTCGCTTTAAACGACAATGAACGAACCACGCGGCGGTACGATGAACCGTTTACCAGGCGTGCGTGTGGAGATGAACTGTTAAATGGGTTGTTTCGGCGGTCACGAGAAAGTTGATGTGCAAAATTCCATTGAGGCCACGACTCTCTGGAATTTAACCATCTGTTTTGTTTACAATACAAATTTTCGAACACTGAAAGATACGCCTAACAAAGAGCTTAACACTAGTTCTGAAATGCAAAGCAAGAAATAGCAACCCTTGCACCGAACGGCAAAACTACGTATTACGATACATATATTTCGTAATAAGTAGCCTATAACTGGAAAAAATTTACCTTGAATCATACGATCGATTCAGCCGTTCGTCAGGTATGCGTATCCGGTAATCTTTTGTCAGTTCATTCATATACCTGTTTAGTTCAGTTTAGTTTTTACAACCATTAACCATGCACTTTCGTGCGCCGGTTTTGGTTGCTGTCTTTTGGTTGCCCATTTGGATAAAAGAGCGAAATGAAGATTGGAATGTCGAAGCAAATTCAAGCGGAAGATGAGGAACTCATATAGAGTGGTGTTAGGAAAATAACGTGTGGATGCACGAGCGCCACTGTTTGCGACACCCAGCCATATCACTGTGTAGCTAACCATCGGTGACCATCATCCCGAGGTCCCCAGCCAGAGAGCCTAACGGGACTCAGAAAGTACATTCTAATCACAATAACCGTACTTTTGAAGGACAATTCTTTCAAAACCAGTTTATATATATGTATATCTATTTATACGGCTTTNGATTGATGGTGATTTACCGATACCTATTTAGCTATTTTAATTGTCATCCTTAGGAACAGGCTTCGATGAAGTGTGGAACGTGAGATAGCTGTTTAACTTTTTTATGAGATAACAAACAGGCAGCTATCGTGTTTGCAGTGAAAGCATCAAAAAATGAATCGCATTTTATTCAATGAACCCTAGTTTAGCTTCAGGCAATATGATCCTAGTTGCTATGTTATCAAGGTAGCTCCTTCTGAATGGGCCAACGAAATCTACTGGTAGATCCAACGTCTATGAAGAAAGATCGTCCAACTAACAGGAATGGATGGATCCTTGCATTGCAGCTACATCCACCAAATGGTGAATAAGCCCATACGGAGCTACCGGCAACCATGAACCAACACTGCTGGCTTGCGGTCCGCACTTGGTTGTTTGAAGGCTGGAGGAGTGACCTCGAATAAAACGCCGAGTGACAGTGGGGACATCCGTCGTAATACGGCTAAGAAACTCCATGATTATCACGGAGCAGGTAGCAATTAAGTAAAGTGAAAAGGACAACTGATTGATAAGTGATTTGGCACGGTTCTTGCACCTTCATAGAGTAGCATGCTGCTACAAGACTGGGATGGTCCATATCTCAACCTTACTTAATAAAGGAAATGGATAGATTGTGTTAAATGGGCAGCTATATTTCATCTAGCAGATGTATCACGGATGGGGTATCGGCACGCGTGCCTGTATCCGCGGATAAGGAAGACTCAACTGGAATTTGTCAACTTG